TTTCTCTTTCTTTCCCTCTCATATGAAATACAATGAATATGAAAATTACTTCATTAAATTCATTTTGTTACCATTGAATACTTGAATATTGTTTATGTTAATATAGTTGTGCAATTCATGTGACAAATGGTTTAAATTTGTACTTTCTCCTATTACTTATTGAAATAAGCATCATATATAAAAGATTCATTGATCATATGATTGAGTAACTGACATACTAGATAAATACTGTTTCAAGTATAAGTACAAATTAATAAAACAGCTAAGAGTTAGGCGAGTTTATTACTAAAATATACGTTTAAAAGTAAACTGTTCTAAACTATAAACATACATGATGATAGGATTGTTGTTGTTCAATAAGTTTAACTATTTATATCAATTCAAGATAATAACTAAGCGCCCAAACCAAAACGTGGCATCATTCCTTGAAGCCACTAACTTCTAGTCTGAGCCATGTTGGTAGGTGCAAACTACTTCGTTGGGGTCCGCGTGACTATCATAACCAATGGTTGGAGACTCTTGGTGACATGGCTCAGAATCTATCACAATGGCGTCGGTGTATACACTCTCTATCTTCCCTTAAACTAAGAGATTAAAGTCGCTTCATATCTTTCTTCCTACGAACTAATTCTTTCTTCCTGTACTATATCCTTATTGCAATCTTTCTTTTATATATTACCACTTCTGAATTAACTACTATTATGAATCCGGTGTCCATCTTGTTGTGTTAATGAGGTATGGCAACTTGGACCGATGCATATATGTGCCTGGTCCTACGTTGTAGCTGACTGACTGACTGATATTCATCTTCAGTTGATACTATATAGATAATTGATTTAATGTCAAATGTCACAATTAAAGATGTTTCTTACTAGTATGAAATTTGTAATCAATTAATAGCTATAATCCTAAGAAATAATAGACCTTGAATCACTGGGAGTTGCAGTTAATCTTTAGACCACTAAATTAGAACCTTACGATCAATATTTTAACCTTAACTAACTCATGATATGAATTGATAAACATCAAATACCATCAAAGACGGTTTTCTCACTCGGCACATGGGATAAGTCCATCAATTACAACTTATCATTTAAAGTAAAGGAAACCCTCTCGTGGTAATTCACTAAGGAAACAAATATTATATCTTGATTAGTATAGGGGTTTGTGGAGATTGTTGAGTTTTAGGTGAGATCATGAACCGATCAATGTTAGACCATCGTTGAAGATCTGGATGCACTGGATGGCAGTTTGATCCTAGTATCGAACTCCTTGACGGTGCGCACCCACGGTCCCTTATGAGCGACCTGAACCCATCTTTACATTTTGATTGTTTTGTAGTATCTTAAGTGATGTGAAAATCACGACGAAAATCATCTTTGAATTAAAATGATTACTCCAATAATTATCAAGTAAAATGTGGGGAGTTTTAAAATTTGTATGGTGTTAATTAGGTGGTCACAATCAACACAACACATATCAGTATGATGTAACTGGTGTTAATTTAATTGATTTTTTTGTGCTTACTGTCACTGTTCGCATAGCTTTTTGTTGTTGTTAATGTTCCATATAATTATGATTGATAAGTAAATAGTATTAGCTGACTCAAATAAAAACATTTTTTTGTGGAATTGCGGGTACTTCCACTAACCTTCATTTCAGTGAACATGTTATTTGTTTACTTGGATGAATGTTCTTCATAGTATTGGTTACATATCGAACATTAGCTGAGAATGTCTTAAACACATAATATAAACGAATGTAAGTGTTACTTACTTACTTACTTACGCCTGTTACTCCTTTCTTCGGTATTATGATCAGAAGTCCTTCTTTCCAGGCGGTTGGTACTCCGTCTGGAGTCCCCTTGGGGGCTACTGCCGGTCTCAAGCCCGGATAAAGGATGAGGGTTGGGCATGGGGTTAGCGTCCCCATCCCGTAGAAAACTAACTCACTAAAAAACGCTAACCAGAAAAATGTAAGTGTTAAATGAAGGTAATATTATTTCTTTCTCAGTTACCAGAAGAAATATTTTTCATAATTGCTCATTGTTAATATTTCATGAAACGATTTTCTTTTAAATAGATATTTCAGGTTTGTCCTATTCACAGTGTTCATTTTTAAGAGAAGGTGCTCTGTCTCATTAAGGGCTTCATCCATGTTCAAAACTCCTTCATGTATATTTACATCTGCTAATGGGGTATTGAAAATTGAACCGATGTACATACATACAGATTCTTAGTTGTGAGTTTCTAACTGATTGACTGACGTGTAAATATATATATATATATATATATGTATGGATATAGATACAGATATTTATCCCTACATGCTCAAATAGTCAAGAAGGAGGCTGCGACAAACATACATTATACCAATTGTTTTATAACTTTAGCTCTTCGGTATGAAATCAACAAGATTATGTGTAAGTATACCGAAGTTATGTTAACATTATTTTTTCCGGGAATGATCAAATATTAGGGATTATTTTACAGATGGAAGGATCAAATTTGTAGAATAAAATGTGGTAAGTAAAATGGTAGCTCAAAACTACAAAAAACAAATAGGGCCTATTTACATCACTGAGGAAATTGTTAAATATCACTCAAACTACTTAATTGTAGTAAGTAAAATATTCCGTTAACGAAAAAAAAAAACAGGAGATACGAAGAACTAAGTGAAAAACAGTTAATTCATTCAGTCAATTTTTGTGACATGGTACATAATTGAAATCAACTATGATACTAATCAAGTCCGTTACAAGCAGCCAATCGATCATGATTATACGAACACTAACCTGAAGAGACACTTGCATATAACAAACAGGAAAGTAGTTACATCAGTGACTAGTAAGAAACCTCTTCCTGAAGCTTCAATTCAACGGAGCTATAGCTTGTATGTGCTACAGGATAGACTGACTAGAGCAGTGGAGAGGAAGTCTCATGCAGATAACCTCTTTCTAGCTTCCTCGGCCTGATCTATAGAGATTTTTCAACTAAAGGATAAGTTGCCTGGTACTTCCACATCGATGAATATCTACTAATTCAACCACTCCTGTGGAGAAAACTAGATTGGGCGCACTGCCAGACAGCTGAGCTAACAAGTTAGTGAACACCTCCCTTCATGGTTAGGAAGGGGTACCGTCAAGACAATACGCAGATCTGTCCTATCACGCTTGATCGATAGCGGTCATGTATTAGACAGAAATAGTTTATTTAAAGTAACCTATTGTATTTCTATTGGTTTACCACATGCGGTTCGATATTGTGTCTTACACATTGCAGAAGCTATAGGAATTCAAGCCAACAATCCAAGTCTTCGTATTCATAAGAGATTTTCAACAAATTTATCTCTTCCTTGACCTTAATAAATGATTTTATTTATTATTATTTTCCATACTCTGTTTTCTTTACCCCCTCCCATCTATTTTTCCCAAATATATGCTTCATTGTCCAATTATCTGAACGCTTCTTATTGCACAATCTTATAATTTTATGAAGGTTATTTCAGCATTTATATTTTTCCAAACCACCAACCTAATCCCCATTATGAAACATGGATTCGAGCCTTTATTATTCCCTTAAAAAATTATTCCTTTGTCAAGTTTTTCATTCCTTTGTCATCACATAATCAATTTGTAGCTTCTACTTATTATGTTTATTTATGTGATCTATTTCACTGTTATCAGTGACTTATAAACTGCCTGTTATATCTAGAGCTTAGATACTCGAGATACCGCGTACAACTTGAGAACTCGAACACCAGAACACTTCCCGTCACAAAAACGAAGAGAGAAGACAAGTAAGAAGGAATGCTATTCCAAACCCAAACAGTGTTAAGTATGGTATAAAACTCTCAGGTATTTATGGTTTTTAGTAAAAGCGAAATCATCATTATAGTCATAAAATCCGCATACAGTGGTTTTTAGAATTTGTTCAATAGGGAAGCTACACGTACCTGGGAAGCATAGTCGATGAACAAGGAGGATCGGATGCAGACGTAAAGACGAGGATTGGCAAGGAAACGACAACATTCCTACAATTGAAGAACGTATGGAACTCAAAACAAATGTCTGTCAGCCAATATCAAAGTCACAGTCTTCAGTAAGAACGTCAAGACATTTCTACTATACAGAGCTGGAACTTCGTGAACTACTACAACCATCATCAAAACAGTACAAGTATTTATAAATAGTTGTCCATGCAAGATAATCTACATCCATTGACCGGATATCATCAGCAACAGCCTTGTGTGTGAGAGAAAAAACCAGCCCCCAGCTGAAGAGAAAATTAGGAAAAGATGTTGGAAGTGAATAGGACATACATTGGGGAAATCGTCAAACTGCACCACGAGGCAAGCCCTAACTTTAAGTCCTGAAGGAAAGCGGAAAAGTGGAAGGCCAAACAACACATAACGTCGGGGAATGGAAGCGGACATAGAAAGGATGAATAGCAACTGGAAACAACTGGAAAAGATTGCTCAGGACAGTGTTGGATGGAGAATGCTTGTGTTCGGCCTATGCTCCTCCACGAGTAGTAACAGGCGTAACTTTATCTCTCTATGATATGGTAAGTACTTTACTACGAAACTAAAGGATTGAATTTAACCATAAAGTATAGTCCCAACAGTTGAGATCACGAGTCAATTGAGGCTAGACGGCCGTGGGAAACCTGGAACCACTGGACGGGAACCCCGGCCCTGCCGCGGTACCCCCCAGCAGCTAGTATCCACGACCCCACCTCACGGGATTCGAATCCAGGACCTACCAGCCTCATGCTACGTGCTTAGCCAAGAAGACCACTGAGCTGGCGTCCGACTGTGTTAATGTCTAACTTCAACTAATCCACGAAATTCAGCGACATATCCACCATTGTCATCAGTGAGTTACTGCCTCACAACTGACCCGCTTGAACTCCATTGGTCACTACTTCTCACTAGAACTCCAGGATATATCTCCCGAAGCCAGTCACTAGTGAGCATATGTTGATTAGTATCAGGAGGCGTTTTGTGGAGATTGTAGTAATTTCAACCGATAGGTCGCGGGTTCGAGTCCCTCGAGGCGGGGTCGTGGATGGACGCGGCTCGAGTCCCACAACTGGTCGATTTCCAACATTTCCACATATTAAATACTAGTAGATTATCCATATTCATTTTCATAATTTAGAAAGAATATTCATCAAATGTTTCTCATCGACCCAGTAAAATGAACAACTCTACCAAAGTATCACAAAAGTCTTATGATTCTCTTCAGTCATCATCATCATCATTATCAAATAAGCCAAAATTATCCCAAAAAGAAATTAATAAAATTATTGAACGTTTAACAAAATATGATGAAACAATTGGACCGCCTGAATCAAATAATGCAAAAATCTATTTAGGTTATGGAAGATATGAATATCCACATAGAAAAAATATAAATAAAGTATTTAAACATTTAACTAGAACAGAGGTAAGATCATTGGGAATATTATTTTCTTTTTCTGTAATGCAGAAATAATACTAAAACAAAATTGTGGGGGGAGGAGGATAATTTTTTAGGGTGGTTCATAATTCTGAGCTTGGGAGAAGGGGTTATCTAATCAAAGAATTTGAACTAGAACCTCATTGTTGATCAGATGTTAGACTTAGTTAATGTAGATGGTTGCCTTATGGTTATTATTTAGAATCTTCTCAATTAACATTAGGTTTTCGTTTCTCCATACAAATAAACCTGAGACTCTGTAATGCTGTCTGATAGGATCGTTTACTTACTTACTTACTTACTTACGCCTGTTAATCCTAATGGAGCATAGGCCACCGACCAGCATTCTCCAACCCACCCTGTCCTGGGCCTTCTTTTCTAATTCTATCTAGTTCTTGTTCGTTTTTCTCATGTCTATCTTCATTTCCCGGTGTAATGTCTTCTTTGGTCTTCCTCTTTTCCTTTGCTTAGCATTGAGGATTCCATGTGAGGGCTTGTCTTGTGACGCAGTTGGGTGCTTTCCTCAATCTGTGTCCTATCCACTTCCAGCGCTTCTTCCTGATTTCTTCCTCCTCTGGAATCTGGTTTGTTCTTTCCCACAGTTGGTTGTTGCTAATAGTGTCCGGCCAAAGGGTCTGAAGTATTTTGCGTAGACAACTGTTAATAAACACCTGTATTTTCTGGATGATGGCTTTCGTATTTCTTCAGGTTTCTGCCCCATACAGAAGAACTGTCTTGACATTTGTATTGATTAGTTAAACATTACTAATGTGAGACGTTTTTAGGAGAAGTCACTGATGAACCTACTGAAAGTATCAGTCTATATTTCGATGTTTGAGTGGGAAGCATACTCACATTTATATACCTATGATTTGTGTAATGCTAATTTATTTTGGTTGATAAGCTTTCATTTCAACTCTGGTCTTCTCATTTGCTTAGAGATTTTGATGTACCTTGAGAAGTGTATGTCTTAACTGAATTGAATTACGAAACACAGCACTGTTACTATCATTGTTTCCTTGCTAATACAGTTTGTAGAAATCAATCCAGTTTGAAGACAATTTTTATAGGAATACTGTTTAAGCTGAAAAAAACTCGACTTGAGGTTGAAACATCAGGTTATTTTGTTCTATCGCAGTGATTTAGAAGTACTGTACTAGTGGTGCGATGCCTGATTGACGTGGGTTTGTTACTGCATATGATTGTACCCATTCACCGTTAGGAGTTCATGAATAAGATAGAATAGTTGTTAAGTCAACCAATAACTAATCCTACAATATTTATTGTAACTGTAATTGTTGAGTTGGCTTTCCGAGAACTGCAATGGAGCCTCCAGAGGCCCTAAAAGAGCCGAAGAGTCCTAGCCAATCGGAACACGATGGAGCTTTCTAGAATATCAACGTGGCGTGCTACTATTGGTCAGTAGCATAATATGTCTTTTAGCGGATTGGCCAAAATATGATGTTGATTTAACAAATCTTAACATCTATAAATACCCGTGTTTTTCTGTACCTTTGGAGTAGTGTTTTTCGCTTATTATGCGCCTTTTCTCTCGAGTTCAGGTCGTTGCGTAGTTCTAGCTTGCGGGTTACCAGAATAGCTTAGGAACCGAATAAAGCGTTTGAATTAAGAAGACGTATCAAAGAGGAACATGAATATGCATAGTGTAGTTAATTAACAATTACACAATAAGAATATATGTATAGTTGCTTACTTACTTACTTACGCCTGTTAATCCTAATGGAGCATAGCCCGCCGACCAGCATTGTCCAAACCACTCTGTCCTCCGCCTTCTTTTCTAGTTCTATCCAATTCTTGTTCTCCATTTCCTGGCGTAATATGTTCTTTGGTCTTCCTCTTTTCCTTTGCTTAGCATTGAGGATTCCATGTGAGGGCTTGTCTTGTGACGCAGTTGGGTGCTTTCCTCAATCTGTGTCCTATCTAATTCCAGAACGTCTTCTTGATTTCTTCCTCAGTTGGGATCTGGTTTGTTCTTTCCCACAGTTGGTTGTTGCTAATAGTATCCGGCCAACGGATCCGAAGTATTTTACGTAGACAACTGTTATTAAACACCTGTATTTTCTGGATGATGGCTTTCGTATTTCTTCAGGTTTCTGCCCCATACAGAAGAACTGTCTTGAAATTTACATTGAAAATTCTGACCTTGGTGTTGGTTGACAGTTGTTTTGATTTCCAAATGTTCTTCACTTGTAAATATGCTGCTCTTGTTTTACCGATCCGCGCCTTCACATCTGCATCAGATCCACCATGTTCATCAATGATGCTGCCCAAATACGTAAAGGTTTTTACATCTACCAAATCTTCTCCGTCAATTGTGATTGGATTGGTGCATGCTGTGTTGTATCGGAGAATCCTGTTTTTCTCTTTGTGTATGTTGAGACCTACTGCTGCTGGGACTGCTGATACACTGGTCGTCTTCTCCTGTATTTGTTGTTGCGTTTGCGATAGAAGAACCTGATGATCTGCGAAGTCTAGATCGTCCAGCTGCATTCTAGATGTCCACTGTATCCCGTGTTTCCCTTCAGATGTTGACGTCTTCATGATCCAGTCGATCATTAGGAGAAAGAGAAAGGGTGAGAGTAAGTAATCTTGTCTGACACCGGTCCTTATCTCGAACAAGTCTGTCAACTGTCCTCCATGCACAATTTTGCAGTTTAATCCATCATATGAATTCCGTATGATATTGACTATCTTCTGAGGCACGCCGTAGTATCGTATATATGTATAGTATTAGTCCATAAATGGATCATTACAGTTACCATTCAATATTCTCGTCGAGATATAACAACCTAAACTCTCCTTCGAACTCGGTTAATATTTTCATTGAATTTGAACAATGTTCTAACAATGTCTAATCTTTCTGATTATCACTGATATTAGTATTAGTTCGATAAACTTACTATTGATTTTACGAATTTCAGCTAATAACATTGTTTTAGTAATATGGTATCTTAGATTGACATAGAGTTACACTTATTAATTTGTAATGAAATAATCGACTTAAAACAAGGTCAACAACAACCAATCAACATTGAGGTCTACAGGACAAGTTGTGAATCAAATGTCGAGAAATTCGAACACTTCACTTCTATCTGAAGTTTGTGCTGATGATGTCGTTCAGAAGAATGATGAAAGCTTCACGATCAAACCATCCAGTTTAGAGAACAAAACTCCATCAAAATCATCCACCTGAGCTATAAATCTTCTCCACCATGTTATGGGTTTTTTTTAATCATGAACTGATATAAGCTAAAATGCTAAAACTTTATTTAGACAAATAAATGAATGAAGTTCGCTTCAAATTCCAATACTTGGTATTCTAAATCTGATTGGTTTATTCACAAATTATAGTTTCGCAATGGAATCATTTAGACAAATAGTAATCAATGTTATCGGTATAGGGGTATTGGGAAGTTAGATCCCCAGAACTCACTTGGAAAAGAACCTAATTTTGTAATTTTATTTAGAAAATTTGAATTTCTTTGTTTTTGCGCCAAAGACGCTCTTGTCACCTTCATGTCATATTTCCCATTTGGGAAATATCTTAAATGCTATTGGCCCGTTGCGTCTTTTAGTATGTTATTTGGTAACTCTTCACAAGGACGGTTTTGTACTGTATATATATATACATTTTGAACTGTGTTTGTTGTAATCGCTCGTTTCTGGCTGTTTGCAGAATATACTTCCCCATTTTAAGCTTGAACTTCTCCCTCTATTTAGCGAGGCTGAGACGCATCAATAACTAGCTTACTGGTCTGTGGTCACCGAGTCTTGTTTTCTCGTTCGCAGATTAAGTAAACTCGTGATAGCTTCAACTCTAGCAAAAGGTTATGGAGATAATTAAGTTTTTGATTGAGATCATAAACCGATTAATGTTAGACCCCCCCCTACGATTGATATGTTGGTATTTTTCATCTCTTTATAAATATCTATCTACCAGTCTATTCTTTTGTTTATTAGATAGATAATTTAATTGAAAGATTAACTAATGAAAAATTACCAAACCTGTCAAGTACTAACTCCTTTACAAATTCTATTTCATATATGAAATGTAACGCTAATAAATTACAAGAAATTATTGAACATTTAACAAGTGATAATCTATCTAAACTTCCTATAGAATCAACATTAGCTAGAAAATATCTTGATTTTAATCGTTATGATTATGGTTGTTCATTAAAAAGTCAAATTAGACCAATAATGAAAAAATTAACTAAAAAAGAAATTCATCATGTAATTGAACGTTTAACCCAATATGATATTAATAAATATCCACCAGAATCTAATGGACATATGATTAAGAAATGATGAAGGCGAAGATTATTTATTTAGTTACTAACTTAGTTATATTCTACTCAATTGTAATACAAAATCATTCTATCACTGTCTGTTTTATTCATGAATAAAAATGGTATTGTTATGACTTTTGTGTTCGGCTAATTATCACATGATTTATCCATCGATCAATACAATCTTGGCACTATGCCAAACCAATGACGTTTGACCGGTATGAGCAGCCTAGCGTCATATTTGGTCTTATATCTGCTTAATCCGTCCACTTGAGTCCAGAACACTAATACCAGCTTCCAATATGCGAATCGAATCGAATCATTCATTTCAGACATACTGGGTTTGTATATCGACCAAACAGACCGCAACGCACCATAAAATAGGAAATAACATTCGTACACAATAAAGCCGAAAAATGGCTGTGAACGTGAGAGACAGTAGTCAATAAACTGACCATAGCTTAAGAACCGTAAATCGTACAATAATAAATTATAGGTCAAAATAAAGCTTACAGTAAGGGGAATATAAATAAACATAACCTAATTATTGAATAGTTATACCATAAGAATGTATAGATGATATTAGTCCATTAATAGATCTCAGAAGTTACTCGTGATTTAATCTTCGCTCGGATATAACAGGTATATTATAATTATTATTGTAGTATTGCTATATTTCATAGTTAGATATCGTTTCCTCTAAATGTCCTGGTACGGTTGAGAGTGGGAAGAGTCTGCTTTTCCTTTCCGAATGCTCTCAAATGATCACATGTATATAGTTACTGACAAGGAAATCCTATTCATCGCTTTCTCGTGATGGAGCTAATGTTTAAGAAATTGAGAAAATGAAAAGTGAATATCCGACAGTTTAATTGGATTGGTGAATATTCAGGATCCATATAGAGGAGTCGGAAAAACCTGATTTCAAACCAAATAGTACACATGGGCTCCAGAAACCTGGGGGAAAAATGGCGTATGAACCTCTTGTTGATCATCCGCTACCATAGGACTGCATCTCTTTACGTTGTTCAACCACCTTGTGGATCAGACCTTTAGGTCGAAGACTTTGGGTGTGACCTCCTATGAAAATCGCTTGCTTCGGTCTGGGCATCCGGGCAGTATCACAGTCTACACACAAATTAAGCTATTTATGTGGTGCATAGGTATTCGGTGCCCCTTTGTACCAATATTTGTGTTCAAATAAAACAAATAAATAAATATGGTTGCGTAATCGTAGTTTCTCATTGACTAATCCAGTATATTGGATAGTAAACATTATTATCTAGGGTAGGCCACATCATGTTGCTATGGATGCTAGAGTTTAAACATTTCATCAAAACTAAATATCAGTAGTCACATATGTAATGGTATAAAAATAAACTTCACTTCCAAAGTGAGTATTTTACACTATTAATCAATGATGGTGAATAGTTGACATTTACAGTTTATTCTTTGAAGAAATAAACGACGTGAAATGGTTTCATAAGGAACTGATGTTAATTTACTGACTATTAGTATATTGTCAGTTTCGTTTGATGAATATAAAAAGTGGAATACTTGAGTTAGTACTAGATGATGGGATCATAGAGTTTATACAAACTTCTCTTGAATACGTCATCAGAAGGAGTTATCTAATGACAGTGATATATAATTTGATAAGTCGATGAAGAGGTCAGCAATCAGTCGTTGGTTTGTAACTTGTGGATTTCTTTTGTATGCCTATGTTAATTAGTTGTTCTGGAAAGGCAAGATAAGTGAGGGTATATCAGATACAAAGTCGATAATGGTTATCTCGAAGCCTAATGTGTACACCACTCCGGTTTGTATTATATATGTAGGACGAAACCAGTGTCCTTGATTCTGCTGCTAGCATAATCTATTTTTGTTTATAATGCTTGTGACTTGAGATAATACCGAGTCGTTACACACAGAATGCACATATCCCAATAACAGACTGATCAATTGCAGTCTCAAACATCAATCGGAAGATTCAAACAAACAATGTAAAATGAATCCATATAATTCTTCAGTCAGTCAGTCAGTAACAACGTAGAACTTCGTACGTACGTACATCAGTTCGAGTTGCCACACCACATTAGCACAGAGATGCAGTAATCGGTTCAAATCCCGTAGTGATAGAGGTAGTAAAATTATAAGCTGTAATCAGAAAAATTAGGGTTTGAAGATGTTATTCAAGGAGTGTAATCCAGTGAAATAATTTTGGGATGAGAAAAAAAAGAGACAAGGAGGAATAAGGAGATCAAAATTTGGGCGAACACAAAGAGTGGATGCACCTGCGCCACTGCAAACGATTTTGAGCCATGTCATTCAGGGTCTCTAACCATCGGTTGCTATCGTCTCGCGGTCCTTAACCAGGTAGTCTACACCTACCAAGATGACTCAGTCCACATGTCAGTGACTTCATGGATTTGTGCCATGTTTTAATCTGGCCGCCCATAGCTTTCTTCCAACCTACTCCTATACCACTGAACATCGCACGTCGAGGCAGTCGGTCGTTGGGCATACGTAACACGATTCCCAACCATCTCAACTGATGAAGTTTCACTACTTCATCAATTGATTTGCCATCCTTACCTAGTACCCGTTTCCTAACAACTGTGTTACTTACTCGATGGTCCCACGATATACGAGCAATATTTCGAAGACACCTATGATCAAATACTAATAACCTACAAATATCCTCTACTCTTACCGGCCATGTTTCACTGCCATACATATATAATTCTTAGTTATATCGTATGATAAATGCATAGAATCGTCACATTGTTTATTCAACCAATGTCTTTTTTAACTGTACCCTGTGATATTTTGCCACTAGTATTTAAGAAGAATGAGTGAAATAGTTTATTTGTATACATAGAAGAAGTTAACGATGATACTTTACTTATTAGCCGTGTTCCATAAGTACCAATTAAGAAGCATTGCAAATTTTTAAGGAGATGGCTATTTAAGAGCGGGGGAATGTGTTAGTTGCATATTATTTAGTTCATTATATCTGAAACTTTGAAGGAAAGTCAATACTAAAACAAAGATTTGGATATTAGATATTATTAAAGGAATATTACATAACATAGTGAAGGTATAGTAATGGGAAGATGTGCATGTGTTTGCTATTTCATTATTTTTAACACAGTGGAAGTTAGATCGGCGAGACTCTAATTTATGGACGACATTTGAACGAATCTTAAGTGACCTTCGGAAATATTAGTCAATCAGTAAACAGTCAGTATTGAGTGAAAATATATAATACAAAACCAAAGAAATAAAATGGATACACTTCTTATACGTGGTTCAGAAACTTATAAAGATTAGAAAGAGGTTCAGAGGTTGTAAAATCGTAATGCATACGGTAGAGGAAATCATCCATACGGCTACAGAATAGTCGACCTCTGGAGTCATGATAAAGTCTCAAAAACTCTTTCAACCACGGCTACATAGATCCAATGTTGTTTGTATGTACTTCGGCTGTTGAATACACAAAATGATACTTGTGGCCAACGATACGATGTACATAACCAAGTTTATGTAGCAGTCTGTACGCTCTCCAAACATCCGTATATATTGTAGTACCTGGCTGTAGCCAGTGTTACTGGTGCTTTTATTATCCAGTTCGCAATAGTTATCATAATTTGCCTTAGTTAGGAATTATATATAGGGTTTCATTACGAACTGACATCAGCTGTAATTCCAGAAATCTACTTAGCTAAAATGGATGAAAGGTTTTCGCACCCAAATCCGAGATCTATTATCTTATACCTGATTGATTCGTCCACAAATTATAGTCTCGCTGTTTCATTTGTTATAGCCGCTCAATTATCACGATTTGTGAAAAATTCCCTATGATATGTTTAGTCATTGAGAAAGGAATGGATATATGAAAGTTAAGAATATGCTGATCAGGAAACGAAATCTTACTATGTAGATTAATTCTTGTCTCCTTCGTGAATAAAAACAAACAGTTTCGTTCCTAATGGAGAAGGTCGACTCCTTAATAATGTTGTTGTAGGGCCAGTGAAATGTCGCTGAGCCCTAGATAAGTCATCCGGCAGTTGGATCACTGAATATCGGACAGATCATCCATCCCTGTCATAGTCAAGGACAACCAACACTCATCAGTTAATCATACGCCATGATTTGGCCCGTGCGGTGGTGGTCGCACTTTCGCTTGTTCTCATTTTTACTAATACGTTTCCGTAATAACTTTCTTTTTATTTCACGGTTTTCAAAATAGCCATAGTTCTTTGATACGTCGAAGAGGTGATCCACGTTAGATACTGACCGAGAGGTATGAGTTCGAAATTAGCTACTGGTTACACCATCCCCGTCTAATTCGAGTAGGCCCCCAGTCATTTAACGTAGATGGTCTACGTTAGTGATCTATATTTTTATTAATTACCGCGGATGAATGAAGTGAATCTAGGTAAATATTGAAACATTAAGTCGAAAGTTTTACTATTTGTAGTGGTTAACATTTCCTGATTTCTGATATGTGAGATCGACCTCAAACACTTCCCTGATGAGTCACTAATAGTGCAGTAAATTATTAGACACGAAATTACAAAGCGTCTCACTGAAATCTGAGAAGCACGTAGTAAATTGTCAGTTTGCAAAATATCAATCCATCATCTCAAACTTGACTACAAATATCAGTCCATTGTCTCAGATTTCATTGTTCATGCATTTTCATATGAACTGCGTTCCGTTTCCGTTCTTTCCTTATCGATCTTCTGCTAGAATACATTCTATGCCTGACCACCGTTATATATTACTTATATGGATATGAGTGACCCACAACACAATAGAACTGAACACTTAACTTACTTAAAAGCCTGTTACTCCTAATGGAACATAGGTCGCAGACCAGCATTCTACAACACACTCTGTCCTCAGCCTTCCGTTCTAGTCCCATCCAATTCATGTTCATTCTTCTCATGTCTGTCTGTCTCTATTTCTCGACGTAATGTCTCATTCGATATTCCACTCCTACTTCAGCCTTGAGGATTCCGTGTGAGGGCTTACCTTGTGACACAGTTGGGTACTTTCCTCAATCTGTGTCCTATCCACTTCCAGCAC